CTACTTCCCCAAGTGATAAGGAGAGAAGATTCTCTATATTCTCTGTGGGGAAGGTCCAAGGTTATGTGTCTCTCTCCCTGTGCTTTTCTGGGTCACTTCTTCAGTTCCTGGGCTACCAGGCTATGTCCTTTTCCTCTCCCCCCCCCATGACGGATGGGGAGGGTTCTCTGGGAAAAGACCTCAGCTTCTTCCCAGGGTGGATGAGTTCATCTGGCAGGAACGAGGACTCATTACTATGTCAATCCCTACTGTCCCCCAACCAAGGTGGAAAGAATCTGGGCATGTCCCAGAGCGGGATGGGCTGGGCTTCTGGCAAAGGGAGCTAGGTCCCCAGGATTGTGTTTTCCAGAGAAGGCATGGCCTTTAATCCTCTGACCTCTGCTGGGTCTCTGCAGTGCCAGCATCCATCATCAATGTTGCCAGCACTCAGGTCCCTGCTCCCAGAGAGCTCACAGAAAAGGCGCAGAGTAACTGCTCTGGGACACACACAAGGCCAAGGCATCACCCAGATCAGCGCGCTCCAGTGGCTTCCCACCCGCCCACAGGATGGACCCCATTTTTCCTAACAAGGTCTATCAACAACCACTGGCAATCTTTTCACTTTCGCCTCCCATGGAGCCCCCGTCATCCACCTCATTCTAGACACTGTCTCAGCCAGGGCTGTGCTGCCTCTAGGAAGCCCTTTCTGATCTCCTGTTTGGGCAGGCAGACCTTGCCTGCTTGCCTACTTCGTGCTCAGAGCAGGGATTACCTGTCAGCCTCCCTCGTAGGCTGGTTGCTCCATGGGCAGACAGACTGTGGTTGGTTCAATTTGGGCCTAGAGCCAAGCCCTATGCCTTCACATCAGAGGTGGTCAAGGATCATCATTAACCACAGTCCTATCTGCCTCCTATTTTCCATTCCATATCCATAAATGAGAAGTTGGGACTAGATCAGAAAGGGCAAATACGTAAGACATGTACCACCATCTAGGTGCCCATGTTCAAGGCAGACAGTCAACCAGTAACTGGTGAGCCCAGGCATAGCTTCAGAATCATTCTCAACACGGTATTCTCAGCAGTCACCACTAGCCAATCAGAGCTGGCATCTGAATGGAGAAACTGGCTAATTTTGACTTTCTCCTTCCACTATCTCCCTCCTTCCCTCATGATCTCATTCTCTCTTCTTCCTATAGACAATCAGACATGCATCTATGTTTGGAGGTCTGGCTGCTGTGGAAAAACGCTAGTCTAAGACCAAGAAGCCTGGGTTCCGACTGCAACAGCAGTCCTCAGTTCTTAGCTTTGGGCCGGTCATTCACCTTTCTGAGTCTCCCTTTCCCAAACAGCCATGCCTCCTCCACAGAAATGCTGTGATGGAAATGAAGCTAAGTCGCATGTCTAAAAACACTAGATAACTGAAAACAATTATTGGAATTTAAAACAAAACAAGCACAGAAACAGCCTGTGCTCAATGAGCTCTTTTCTGTGACCCCTGTCCTCCCAAAATTCTCTAGCTCTGGACCTAGAAATCCTCATCAGACAGTACCACTTGTAGAACCATCTCAAGGCCAAGGAGCTGGGGGCCCACTCCAAGACCAGGGGACCTGGCAAAGGCCAAGCTGAGTTTGCCAGATGTGCAGCCCAACTGATTTAAGCTGCTTGATTATATAAAATCCATCTGGATCCAAAGCAGAAAATCCAAGTTGGAAGGGCCCTCAGAGACCATCTGACCCATCCACTGGTGAGCAAACGGGGAGTGACTGGTCCAAGATTGGTCAGCAACTGAGTGGCCATGTGTGGGACTAGAACAGGTGTTGTTAGTCTCTCCCCACCTCCCTGGTCAGAATGCTGTGTCTAGAGCATTGGGGCTGGTTGGGCTCCACTCCCGGTAATGTGAGCAACATAAACTCAATTCAAACATTTCCCTGGGTCCCTGTGACCTACTACCTCCTAGGGACTCCAAGATATAGACAATCTTTTCAGAAGAAACATGCAAAATTAGAAAGCCCTTGTTAAGTGCCTCCATGACCCCAGGCACACCACAATATTCCCCAAGAGTGAGACTGGGTCAGTCTCCCAAACTACCTCCCTGTCAGCCTTCAACTCGCTACCAGACATGTCTCATGCCACAGAACAAGACAGGCATTGGCCACCTCAGAAACCCAGACACCAAACGAGAAAGAGCACACAGATGGAGCCTAATGTGTGGATGGTCAAGCCTTCTGGCTTCAGGAGCAGGTATGCAGCACAGCAGTCAGAGACCTGAGGAAGTAAGACCCATGCACTTTTCCAGGGGCCTGGATGGGGGAACAGTCACTCCCTCCCACCCACCCTAGAGGCCCCAATGGTTTCTAAATTTAGCGCCAGCTGGGGGTGAAGTCCTGACCTGGTTACCTTGGGACAGGCTCTGGCAAATGCTAGATCAACCAATCCAGGCTCCTCAGTGCAAAGGCGCTCCTACAGCAGAGATGCCTGCCCAGGCCAAGACCAAGCAGGGGAAGGAGCGCAATTGTTGGCAGCAGATAAAACCCTTGATACCATCTCTATTTCCCTTCTAATATCAGAGTGGCTGCCTGCAAGATGAGCGAGGGGCAGGGCCGGCAATCAATAGCTAATATTCCTGTTGTGAGCAACTGCTCCGGAAATGGGCTGCCACAACCTCCTTCCAGAGAGATACCCTTTTCCCTCAGCAGTGACCCAGTCTGAACCACGCAGCATCACAGCCAGGAAGGACCCCATCCTGAAGGGAAATGATGCCCCCAGGGGTAGGAGGCAGACAGTGGGAGAGTCCGTCAAGACTACCCAGAAAGCAGAGAGGACAGGGCAAACAGCTTCCTGCTCCCTGGCATAGCCGGTTCTTGATGGTCCACCCTGACTGGGGGTCAAGAAGATCAAGTAAAGAGGGTCCAGGTTACTTCTTTTTGATGGTGTCCAGCAGTGGCTAAATAAGGACAGCAATCAGTCTGGGCTTTCTGATCACACACTCCTGAACGTCACAGGGGAGGGCCCAAAAAGTATGCCTGGAATTAGGCTTTAACCGGGGACAATTATACCAAAGCAGGAAGTTGGGAGCTGCCCACATATCAGGCAGACCTCCGCCTTGCCCTAGACTCACGCCAAAATAGAAGTCAATGGCCTACTTGAAGAAGTGCAGCTGGCTCTTGTCCACCTCTTCCCACCACAGTGGCCTGGATTAGGCACCAGATGCCAGTAAGCAGCCTCAGGAGGGAGGCCCGCAGGTGGAGCCTGGGACTCTGTCCACCAGGCAGGAAAGTCACACCCGCATTGTTCCAAGGACATCGATGGCATCATGGGCGAGGACATGTGAACCTGGGGAGAATTTCCCTGTCCCAGACGGAACAGTGGAAAAACTACCACTGGGGGCGCAGAACCCCCATCTGCAATGGCGAGGAAGATGGCTGCTCCTTGGCCGGGGTGACCCTGCTGACATTTAAACGTCTCACTTTTTTATTGAAGTGCGGCCCCTCTCTCCTCTGCCTGAACCCTGGTAATGCCTGGTCTTCTCCAACCTGGAGCCTCCACACTGACTTCTGGGGTTGTCCCCAACTCCAGCCCTGGAACAGGTCCCAGTTTGGCAGCAGGTTGGGACTGTGCTGCGCCACACGTGTGCCACCCATGGACCCTCGCTGCCACCCACGCGTCTCTCTCGCTGCCATCCTGATGGAGGACCTGCCATCTCAGTTGTATACCCAAGCCTCACTGATTCCCTTCCTAGCTGGCGAGCTGCGGGACCTAACCCTCCTCTCCTGTGATAGAATATCAACTGAGATGTGAAATCTTGCAAGAAAAAAAAGTGTCTTCTACGTCACCTCTCGCTCAGGGAGGAAATCCCCTTAATATCCTGAAGAGGTGTTTGTCCTGTTTTTTGCTTAGACACCTCTAGTGCCAAGGAGCCCCTGCCTCCTGCAGCCCGTGTCTCTGGCAGGCCACACACAGTGCGAAAACCTGCATTACACCAAACAAAGGTCTCCTCGAACTTTGTCTCACTGGTCCTAGTTCTGAATTCTTGAATTTCATGTAAGAAAAGCCTTCTTTTCTATGTGACAGCTCTTTCCATATTCTTGTCTGGAAGTGCTAACCTTTCTAAAGGCATGGAGAACCCAAACAAACTCAACACTCAGTCATAGGCAGGTTTCAAAGACTGAGATGTTACACTCAAGAGCGTCTTCATATTAGTTCCTTCCAGCCCCACACCCTGATACCTCACCAAGGTGGTGTTTCCCAGTCTGCTTAATTTAAATCATATGAACCCTCCAGAGGCAAAGGCAGAGATGAAGGACAGGGCACAGAGGGGTGACAGCTACCCACAACCTGGACAAAACATGAAGTCCCAGCGAGAGAGGGAAGGTGGGAGAGGGACCAACAAGGTGCTCACTGGAGAAGGCCAGGCTCTCGCCCACGTGGGATGGGCTCCTGCCTCTGCAGGCAGAGTGCGGCGGGCACAGATGCTGGTGGGATGCCGGCTGTGATCACACTTGGAAAGAATCAAGTGGTTAACCAGAGGGAAAGGAAGGCAAGGCGCGCCAAGACGGTGGGTTTTTTGTTTTTTTAGATTACGTCTAAGGTTTGTCGTTTGGACAGGCAAAGTAAACAATGACAACGACAGCAGCAACAAAACAGAAACAAAGAATGGTTTACTTGTTAAAAAAAACCAACAAAACCTTTGTTAAAAGACAGCTCCACACGGACTTGGAAGCAGCCCCACAGCCTCCCAGACAGGGGTGGCCATGTCGGGACCGCGAAGCTGGTGTGAAGAAGACAAACCCCAGCAGAACTGACACAGCCCGCTCGGGAGAGGCCTGCTCTCGCTCTCCTCTCTCCCCTGCTCGGGCTTCGGTGGTGGAAGGAATGGGGAGGGAAGGGTCTGAACCAGCATAAAGCAACTGTATTTACACCATGGCAAACTGAGCTGTGACTTCCTTCTGTCTGCCTCCCTCCCACCTGCCTGGGACCTGGCCTGGAGTGAGGGGAGCCCAGGACCCGGGGCCCAGCACATACCTGAAAGAAACCTGGCGGGATGGGGCCTCCTGGCATCCCATCGTTGGGGGGAATGTTGCCAAGCACGGGGCTCGGGGCGGCTGCTGCGCTCTGTGGAGACAGAAAGGTGAGGGGTTAGGAGCTGCACTGTGATGAGAGAGATTTCTGAGCCCTGGAGCCCAATCTCCCCACCCAGTCACCCCAGGTCGACCGAAGACCCTCCGGGCAAGCCACTTAGTGTGCAGGTGAATAGCTCTCTGAGCCTCCCTTTCCTCATCTCTGAAATGCAGGGATAAAGTCTACCTTGCTTGGCCCCTGCAGAGCAGTAGCTGTTACTAAGCTGACTGCCTGACTCAGTCAGCTGCTTGATGCAGCTCCTTGAGGGCAGGTGAAGTTTTGTATAAAAGTCTGTACAGGTTGTACAGAGCAAAGATCAGCACTATCCATGACTCGATGTAAGACAGGTGGTCCACCTGGTAAATGTCCCTTGAGAGGGTGAGCGGGAGGGGCTGGATTTTGATTCCATCAGGGTCCTGCGTGCCTTAGGAGATGAGGTGGGCCCACCATGGGGGTGGAGGCGGGGGTGGTAGTGGTTGTGTTTGTGTGTGTGTGCGCACGTGTGTGTTGTGTGTGTTGTGTGTGTGTGTGGTTACTTTCCTTTTAAAACGCTGCTAATCTGGCATTTACCTGGTACATCTGCCTCAACAAATGCCTCCCAGGGGTGAACAGACGTTGCTCTCCCCAGTCTGGCCTCCTTCCAGACAATCTGTATCCCACCTGGCACATGGCCGGCGTGCCTGTGCCTGGTCCTGAGCTTGCACAGCCAAGGTGAGGCTGATAGGGAAGCTGCAGGCTCTGTCCCTCCCCACTGATTCTAAACCTCCCAGGTGCTCCTCCTGCAGGAAGCCTAGGGCCAATCTGGGTGGTTCCCAAGCCCTACCAGGACTGAGAATTTGGACCCGAATCACCAATCACCTCCTAGGGGTCTGCGTGGTTCTTTGGGACCCTTGGATCAGGAAATGGAATGCCTCCTTTCTCTCTTAAAAATGTAGCTTGCCATTTCTGCCTTGAAGAAGTCACTTCTTCCCTTTTGTTAGCCAGAAAATAGGAACCAGAACCTCTAACTTCCAAGCTTGAAGGAAGGAAATGAGGTAATGTACGAATCTATGAACACACTGCATGCAGCAAAATGAACAGATTCCCCTGGGAACCAATACATCTGGGTTCAAGTGCTGCTGCCTGTGCCAGCGAGAGGCAACTGGGCAAGCCTCACGTGGCCTTTCTGCCTTTTCTTGTAAAAAGGAGGGATCTCTGTTGTCTCGTCTGCTCATCAAGGCTGCAGAGGATTAAGTGACAGGATGGGCTGTGTTTTGTAAACCTGTAAAGCTCTGTACATCTGGAAGCAGGCAGCACTCAATATGGGGCACGCAGTGGGTGTTTTAACACATCCCCGGTAAAGAATAGGGATGGGGTTGGGCTGGCTGTCGCAGCCCATCGTTTCCAAATGATTCTGCCTGCAGAAAAGCAACCCTCTCTGTAATTAAAGAGATTCTGCCAATATCCTGTAATGTGTTTACAACTTCTAAGCATCCCCAAACATCCAGGATCTAGGCCTCCTCACCACCCCAGGTCTGAGGCCACAAGCCCACTCAGGAGGAGAGGCCACTCCTGCCTCTGCCTTGCCCAGACCCCAGCATTATCTGGGAAGAGGGCTGCCCAGGGGAATCCGCCAGGTTATCCATTAGCTGCATTGTTGTTTGTTTGTGGTTGGCGGTTCTGTGAAAATGCAACTTTTCCTGATTTATAGCCAACAATTACCCCGCAGCAGCAGGAGAAGAAAAGTTTTTGAAAATGGGGTGAGATAAACATCCACCAATATTTTCTTCAAGTTCCTTCAGAGCCTGGTTTTACATTTAACTCTAATCCTTCAGGAACTTATTTTGGTAAAGAAGATGGATCTTATGCCTTACAGAATCAATTGCCTTCTCCTCCCTGATTTGAAATAAAATTCTTACAAAGGCCTGGGTCTACTTCTGAACTTTTAAAATTCTGCCCTGTGTCTCCAATACTCCACTTTAATGATCAGAGTTTTACAATGTGTTTTATTATCTTCCTAAATTTTTTAATGGAAGTTTTCTGGCTTATTGCTATCTGCTTATCCCTCCCTTATAAAAGCCACTCCCTATTCCCCCCCCCCAAAAAAAAGTGTGTGTGTGTGTGTGTGTGTGTGTGTGTGTGTGTGTAATAAAGTTTGCAGAGCCAACATGTTTCCAAAACAGAGGCACCCTCCCAGAACATGACCTTTCTCCAATAATTCAAGAATTTATTCAAGTCCTACAGTCAAACATGGACCAGTGACGACCAGTAGACAATAAATATGGGGAAACCAAAAACCCTCTCTTGCACTCACTAAATGTTTTATTCACAGTGCGGTTAAATCTGAACTTGGGATGAGGATGGGGAAGAAAGAGCTCCTGTCTGGTGAGAAGGGTCTGATGGAGGCACAGCTCTGGAAGGGGGTAAAGAGAGCCAGCTAGCCCGGTGTTCAGAACTGAGCTGGGTGCTTTCACACCATCTTTCCCAGAACCCTCAGAAGGCCTCAGAGAGAGCATGCCAGCACTCCCACTTCCAGACAAGGAAACAAATGTCTATGTGGAAAGCAAGTTCAAGATGACCCTTTCCAACTTTCCTCCTCAAAGAGTCCAGACCTATGCTTGATCAGTTTTCAGCCCAGAGACAACACTTTGTTTTTACAGAAAGATCTGGAAAACTTTGCCAACTTGATTCTTTAAATTAACATTTATCATTTAGTATAAAACACTTCCCTATAACAAAAAACAGCAAAGTAAAAAGAAAACTCATCACTGTATTTTGTTAAATACATAATAAATGAGCACTTTCCCCCTCTATTTCAATGGCCAAAGACAACACAATTTTCTAATGAGCCTAAGAGGATATAGAGATATCATTATTTAACCAATTTAATTAACAGGCATTAAATCAGTGTTTGCTAACTTGGTGGTTACAAATGGTGTCTCTTTTGTGTTATCTTTTGAATCACTACCTTTTGAAATGGTTTATGCTGGTCATAAACCAGTTTATGCTGGTCATAAATGGTTTTTGAAATGGTTTATGCTGGTCATTTGGAAAATCTGTATGTATGGTAAAACAATCATGTCCTTTTTCCCTTCATCATGTACTGAGGATGTAAAAGAGGGATTCTTTATGATAAAAAATATACATATAACTTTTAAATGAAAACTTTAACCTCTGAGCGTGAAGAACCAAGTCCCACCCCCTTCCCCCGCCCCAAGATCTCACTGCCCTAGGAAATCAAGAGTGAGTCAATGGTTCTTGGAACTGGGGGCAGGTGGGTGGTAGGTGGGTGGTCCTTTGAATGTCAGGACCAGGGTGACCATGGTTCTAGTAAATATGTTGTAATTCTCTGACATCATCAAAGAAAGAAAGGCCAAGTGGGCAGTGACTAAGGTGGCAAGAAACTTCTCTAGCAGCAAAATTAAGTAACTCAGCAGTGGCCTAATTTGTGTCCCAAATTATGACAGTGACTGCTATTTGATTATGAAGCGAACATACCCTCATAAGAGAAGGGTACAAAAGCATAAAGAATATGAGAAGCAGCAAGCAGTTATATATGGAGACCAAAGGGTTAAGAAATAATCTTTGTTCACAAAGTCCAATCCAAAGGACCCAACTAGCTTCAAGACCCAGCACACAGTGAAGCATACAGCAGGTGTTCAATAAATGATGATAGCTTTTATTATTCAAAGACCTGCTCAAACCTGGCCATCTGGAGTCAGACCTTTCTGGGTTGCTAGGAATCAACCTTTCCCTGCGGTTTGAGTTAGAGAGCTCCATTAAGGCACTCAGCAAAGTGTCTCCTGTGAATTTTCTCTAAAAACACAAAACCCAAGCCCAAACCCCCTGACATTCACTGAGGCCTACAGCATGCTGGCTGTGGTAGGTACACAGGATGGAACTCCCCCACTGGAGTGTGGGAGGAAAACACTGGATTCAGGAGCCAGAGACTTCCTGTGTGGCCTCAGATCCTGGCTGGGAGGCCATAGAGGAGTCCCTTTTGCACTCTGGGCCTCAGTTTCCCTATGTGTCCAAGAGTGGGATTAGAGGAGTTGATCTCTCAGAGGTCATCTTCCAAACTGCTCACCCTAGCCCAATCCATACACCCAGGGGAGTAGAAAGAGCTCCCTGTATGAACGAGAGAGCAATCCTCTTTCCAGAGTGCCCTGGATTTTAAGTCATCTCTGTTCACTACTTAGAAATCAAACAGTCAAAACCACCTAGAAACCTGTTATTGGAGTCTGGAGAAACCAGCCTGACGTTTGGGTTCTGGTTCCCTGGCTCTCCTCACCAACATGTATCCATATTTGCACAGGCACACTGACTCAAGAAAGAATCAAACCAGGCATGCAGTCTGGTAACTTGTACATTTTTAAAAACGGATTTAAAATTCTTTTCTAAATAGGAAACAGGCCTTGCATAGGGTGGTGTGGCCCACTGCAGCTAGCTTAGCTGCCTCCTCTAAGTCTCTGGGGTACAGTCAACTTGAAAAGCTCAAGGTGCCTTCAGAAAACACCCAAAGCAGTTCCCCCTGCAAAGTATTTTAATTTTGCTCACAGCAAAGGAGACTTCCAAGGAGGGCTGACCCAGGCTAGCTTTCTCCCTGAAGAGTAGGGTTTCTTTCTGATGCCAGGGTGGTCCCCGCCCTGGGGCTCACTGCAGTCCCTGGCCTATGCGTGTGCATAGGCACATGATAGCTGATGCCATACTCGCTGCTGCCACATAGGCCAGGCACCCCTCGCCACCCAGATCTGATTCTCAGTAGTGATTTCACACGAAGATACTGCCTGCTCAGAGTAACTCCTATCTCCCTGATCCCAGTCCAGGGTGCAGACCTGGACTCAGAATCTGAGCAACTGGGAGTGCCATGCTCAGCAATTTGGACTTTCTCCTCTAGCCAGTGGAGGAGAGTTCTAAGCAGAAGAGCTACCCACGACTTATGAGAATTTCATCATATCCTGTGCGAAGCATCCATCTTCCTGCACCTGCTGACAAGCCCCTCTGACACCACCGCC